TTAATGTATCGTTTTTTCTATACATGTCATGGATCAATGATAGCTCATGTACATTTTATTTCATATGCAGTACCTCTGATCCCTTCTGACGCMCATAATCCTTAGCGTTAAAATAATAGAATGCTTCCATGTGACGCCCATAATGAAATAGGGCAATTAGGTGGAGTAAAACCAATTTCAGTTTTGTTCGTTTCTAGCKGCTGGTCCTGTTGATTACGTCATCTGTGATCATATGCGTGCACCAGAGTATTTTACAGCCTCTGTTCTCACAAGTACGGCCTGTCCAATGCGGGCTTTTCCTTGTWCAAATTTCCARGACTTCGAACGTGGTTATTGCTTCAACTGCGATGGYGACGATTGCCCCTCTATGGGTTTCTATGCAGAAATGGCTCAAGCACAGGCTTCTGGGAAGCACTACCTTTTAACCAATGACAAAGAGCCATTTTGTGGTATGTTTTAAATCGAAAATATCATAGATAAATTAGAGACAGTTTTTTATATATCCAGTGCTCAAGTTTTGAATGAAAAGACGTTGTTGCGGGGACAAATTACGAACGGCAAAATCAATAACGAAGGCTAAACGCAAAGTTTGCACTGTCAGCCAATCATATTCTATGTGCCAAGAAAGTGTTTCATTGAAATGCAGCCAATCCATTGCATCAAGAAGAGACAGTGGGTGAGCATGCAGTGGTAGAAACCTGTGAAAAACTGTCACAGCTGTGAATAAGTAAGAGTTAGTTACCGAGAACGGAGGCATTACGCTATATACAGCCCGAGGGCCGCAGGCCCGAGGACTGTATATAGCGTAATGCCGACGTGCAAGGTAACTAACAAACTTAGTTTTCAATTCACGTGGTTTTCGCAAAAACTGAATAGTCTAAATGAATGTGTTCTTAGTTGGGATTCGAACAATAGAATCCTCTTCTCTTGAGACTTTTTCATGGACTATTGAAATTAGTTTCCTTTAAGAAAACCTGTTCATGCGAAAGCTAGCAATCGGAATTTGAATATTGTTATCAAATATTCTGAACAGTCATTCTGGAAACGATGTCGAACAGTGACGATTTGTTTATAGCTCAAAATACGTTTGACATCATTCCTTTGCCGCCGAACTTTGATTTTGACGA